TATATATATATATATATATATGTGACCCCACATTTTTCTTGGTTTAATCTCATTCTTTCCGTTGACTCTCGCCACAGCTTGCTTGATGTTCTGCTGGCTGCCAACTTTCCGTAATTAGCTCTCTCTCTCCCTGCACTCACAGTGAGGCAGAGTGCAGCCAAATGTAAATCTCTCCAGAGGCTTTCCACAGTATGAACATGACACACATCTGGAGGATGCCAGATTCTTGACATGTTACAAGAACCAGTCAGTACGACCAGTGCAGGACCATTTGTCTTCTTGTATGCACTGCCACCTCCTTCGTCTTATTCACTTTTTCCATTCTGCACTCCCCCTCTCTCTCTTTCCCTGTTGTGTTAGTTTTTACTGCATGGCTCTGGTGAATGCACTCCCTTTAATCTCATGTCAGATGCTTAATGCAGAGTTATTTTTTGGTATTTGGAGAAAACTTCCACTTGTTATGAAAGGAAGAAACAGCCTTGCATGTTTTTCCACCACAAAAATACCTGCTGGGTATGTGCAGAAGTTAATTGTTACTTTGTAAAACAGCTTGGAAGATGAATCATAGTTCAAAGCAGTTTAGAGAACGGTACATCTGAACTGAAGACGGCACCATATGTTGGGTAGTTTCAACATTTTTCAAATGTTAACTATATGTGCATGGCCATACGGGGGAAAAATCCTATTAAATGTACAGAAAGACAACAAAAGCTGTTTATTTGCGTGCGATCTGCATGTACATGTGTGCAGGCTGTATCAGCTGGGGGAAAGGTTGAGTGTGGAGTGAAGCATTCTTTCCATTACCCTGACCAAATCAATGCACTGAGCTCCCAGCCAGAACACCACTTCCCCTCCCCCACTCCAGTGGTGACAAGGGGGCCAGTGGAAAGAGCTGACCCAGGCGCAGCACACTGGCTGGCCTAATTGCAGTTCTGGCCTCCTGCTTCTTTTCTTGGTGCTTGACAGTGGTTGCCCCAGCGCATGTCCTCTCTATACAGATAAATACTCAAGCACATGGACATGGGAGCAACTGTTGCAACAATATATATCCATTGGTTGTTAAAGGAACAGTTCCCCAAAAATGAAAATATGCTTAAAATGTTCTCACCTTCAGGCCATTCAAGGTAAAGATGAGTTTGTTTCTTCATCGGAGCAGATTTTAGCATTACATCACTTCATCTCTAACCAATGGATCATCTGCAGTGAATGGGTGACATCAGAATGAGAGTCCAAACAGCTGATAAAAATATCACAATAATCAACACACGACTCCAGTCCATCATACATAACATATTTTCAGGTGAAAAGCTGCATTATTGTGATGTTTTTATCAGTTGTTCGTATAAATGTACATACATTTAAAAAAAAATACAAATATGAAAAACTTGAGGATTTACAATGCGTTAAACGCGACATCGCAGTCTTGTGAAAAGGGTCCATTTTGCACATAGATCGATAGCCTGTAAGTGTCTAAATAATATAAAATACATTACACAAGGGGGCCAGTGGAAAGAGCTGACCCAGGCGCAGCACACTGGCTGGCCTAATTGCAGTTCTGGCCTCCTGCTTCTTTTCTTGGTGCTTGACAGTGGTTGCCCCAGCGCATGTCCTCTCTATACAGATAAATACTCAAGCACATGGACATGGGAGCAACTGTTGCAACAATATATATCCATTGGTTGTTAAAGGAACAGTTCCCCAAAAATGAAAATATGCTTAAAATGTTCTCACCTTCAGGCCATTCAAGGTAAAGATGAGTTTGTTTCTTCATCGGAGCAGATTTTAGCATTACATCACTTCATCTCTAACCAATGGATCATCTGCAGTGAATGGGTGACATCAGAATGAGAGTCCAAACAGCTGATAAAAATATCACAATAATCAACACACGACTCCAGTCCATCATACATAACATATTTTCAGGTGAAAAGCTGCATTATTGTGATGTTTTTATCAGTTGTTCGGATTCTGATGGCACCCATTCACTGCAGAGGATCCACTGGTGAGCAAGTGATGTAATGCTAAATTTCTCCAAATCTGTTCTGAAGAAACAAACTCATCTACATCTTTTATGGCCTGAGGGTCAGTACTTTTTCAGGCAATTTTCATTTTTTTTCTGAGTGAACTATTCCTTTTAAGGGAAATGGTTCACCCAAAAATAGAAATTCCATCATCATATACTTACCTTTATTGTTGTTCCAAACCTGACTTTTATTCTTCTGTGGAACACAAAAGAAGATATTTAGAAAAATGTTTTTGGACACACAATGAAAGTCAGTGGAGTAAAGCAACACTAGACCCCAGCTGACTTTCATTGTGGAACCGAAAAGTTATTATTATTATTAATTTTTCGAGTTATTAAAAAAAAAAATCATATTTGTGTTCAGCAGAAAGAAGAAAATGCAACTCAGGTCCGGAACATTAGGCTGAATAAATTATGACAATTTAATTTTTTGGGTGAACTATGCCTGAGGTGTGTCAAAAAAAAACAAACAAAAAAAAAAACAACAACAGCAGTTTTGCAGTTGGAGGAATTTCTTTGGGAAGATGGACACAAATCAAATCTAGTCTAGGAGTAAACTTTTCATTGGTGACCCTCAACTGACAGTGTAACTTTATACATGAGGTTTAATCGGCATCTGGGAAAGCCACCATCCACAAACTTGAACTTGACGTCTTTTCAGTGGCATTCTTGGTCATTTTGAGGGCTGGCTTTGGGGTATGCAGAACTTGTCTATATCTACTGTTTTTGTATTATAGCTGAAGATGTTAAGAATACAAATAGCACCATGCAATCAATGAGGCATAATGGTTTTCAGTTGCATTGCCTATAGGTTTGGAATATATTTGACCTTATGTATGACCCATACAACAAACATCCTCTAAAAATTAGCATTTGAGGGAGTAATCTGCCTAATAGCTTTAAATGGAGCACTAAACTAAAATGGACTGACCGTGGCATTTCATCGTAGTCCTTTAGGAACATAATTTCAGTGATTGGATTTCACTGATTGTTTCCATATTGTTGTAGAAAAGCCCTCAGTCATTCGACTGTATCCGAGAAAAAGGACGATACGGGGTTGTTCAGGACAGCATCCACTTAGATCTGGATATCTGAACAAATCTTTTCACAATAGCAGCAGATTCAAAGTGAGGTCATGGAACACGAGCAAATACTTCCGTTATGAACAGCAGTGCACCTTATGGATAAAACAATACACAACTTTTTTAAACAATTTAAATCTTTAAAAATAATCAAGTATGGAAGACTTACGACAACAAAATATATCAACTCTTATATTCTTCTGAAAGACAGACTGGGTGGGAAAAAAAACAGAAACTCAGTTCAGATTGGGATTTAATAATAAAAAACATTGAAAGTTATATCTATAATTGTATTTACATATTTCAAACCATTTATTATTATACAAATTTTGGAAATAAATATTTACAAACCAACAACATTAAGTTGTACAAAAAAACATTTCCCCTCCATGTCCAGTGCCAAAAAAGTTGACAAAAATACATTGAGAGAAATAGCCTTTTAATAGCCATTATTTTTGTTGTTATTCCTGCAAAAATAGCTGACACCTTTATAATGTTTACTGACCAGATATCGCTTTCAAATAAACTAAACTGTAACAGGCTTATGGAGGATATTCACATGCCCTTTTTAAATGATGATTGACATGTCCATAATATTTTTTGCTTTAACAGAATAAACTTGTAAGAAAAAAACTAAGATTGGTTTTAGCTGTCTCTACTTTAATTTTTCCACTGGGCAGTGCTTTTCTCATAGCTAATGTCTTTCAGTGTATACAAAATTCTTCCTTTGTTAGAAAAAACAATAAGGTGAAATGATCATTTTTAAGGAAAACATATAAACAACAATAAATAATAAATATTGCTTGTTAATTAATGCTATTGCCTATTCAGTTTGTCAAATAAGGCAAACATTGATAAAATGTTCAATACAAAACAAAGTCCACTTAATTGGTGATATATAGTAATAAACCTTTGATTTAATTCAAACATCTATCAAAAATTTGATCTATGGTGTAAGATTAAGAACAATGAGCAAAACCTCAAGATCTTCAGGGGAGTCAATAAAAAAGTTGTTAATGCTAGATTTGAAATAAATAAATGTGAATTAATGTTCAACTTTAAAAGAAGTCTTATCAGAAAGACAAATCCTCTTTTGTCTTACGAACAGAAAACAAAGAAACCCAGAGCTGAAGGACTAAGAGTGATCTGTGGGTTTCACAGCACTGCAAGGTCATGACAGGACTTGGAGCGCACTTTCAGGGCCATCTTCTTGTTGTTCTTGGCTACAAGTCGATCTAGGAAGCGTCTGGCTTTCTTGGTGATGCTCTCTTTTCGCTTGTAGATGGAGCGTCGGCGCTCATTGATCTCTTTGCTGTCTCGCCGCAGTCGGATCTGCCTCACAATGCCCTCAAAGAGCTCGTGAACGTTGTGGTGGAGAGAGGCAGAGGTTTCTATGAACTTGCAGTCAAATACCACCGCACAAGCCCGACCCTCTGCCACAGAAGACCAGGATTGTGTAAAACCAAACCCGTCACAAGGCTTTGAAGGCTTATGCATCTGCACCATGTCAAACAATTGTGCATTCATGAGTTAGACTGTGATATACCCGACCATTCAAAGTTTGGGGTAAGATTTTTAAATGTTTTTAAAAGAAGTCTCTTATGCTCAGCAAGGTTGCATTTATTTGATTAAAGGGGTCATATGATGCGATTTCATGTTTTCCTTTGTCTTTGGAATGTTAAAGGGGACATATGACGTTGCTAAAAAGAACATTATGTTGTGTATTTGGTGTAATGCAATGTGTTTATGTGGTTTAAGGTTAAAAAAACACATTATTTTCCACATAATGTACATTATTGTTGCTCTTCTATGCCCCGCCTTTCTGAAACGCGTCGATTTTTACAAAGCTCATCGTTCTGAAAAGCGAGGTGTATGCTGATTGGCCAGCTATCCAGTGCGTTGTGATTGGCTGAATACCTCAAGCGTGTGACGGAAATGTTACGCCCCTTAAAACACTGTGATGCCGTCTCCCAGCACGGCGAAACAAAACCAATAAAACCCATTACAAACGAGGCATTTGTTGCATTTATGCTACTCTGCAGGTTCAGGAAACAGTCACACAGCGTCACACATGGCGGGCTTCAGTGAGCGGAGGCCAGCTGCCTTGAGAAAGGCGTGGCCGGAAGGCGTGCGGCAACCACATGTGACGACCCCGGGCTGGACTCCGCTTCGTCCATGGTGAAAGCCGATCCGGTGAAAACACGCCCCCACATGTCTATGTCACTGTGTGGGAAGATTTGCATAACACCGCCCAAATGTATACGCAAAGAAAAAAGGCGTAACTTTTATTCTCGCTGCAGTATTGTTGCTGCCTTTGCCATGTCGTGGAGACGCTGTGTGTTTTGTTGCGAAAGCCAAACTACTTTTGTTTTTTACTTTGCCTTCCAGTGGTTAAGTTGTATTTACAATTTACAACTCAAATATTCGAGTGTGTGCAGCGCATTTTACGGAGCAAAGTTTCCTGAACCTAGTAAGGGGCGTAACATTTCCGTCACACACTTGAGGAATTCGGCCAATCATAACGCACTAGATAGCTGGCCAATCAGAGCACACCTCGCTTTTCAGACCGATGAGCTTTGTAAAAATCGACGCGTTTCAGAAAGGCGGGGCATCGTCATATGACCCCTTTAAAAATACACCAAAACAGTAATATTGAGCAATATTATTAGAATTTAAATGAACTTTTCTATTTCAGTATATTAAAATGTAATTAATTCCTGTGATGGCAAAGCTGAATTACTCCAGTCTTCAGTGTCACATGATCCTTAAAAAATAATTCTAATATGCTGATTTGGTGCTCAAGAAACATTTCTTATTATTATCAATGTGAAAACACTTGTGATGCTTAACATTTTTTTGGAAACAGTGACACATTTTATTCAGGATTCTTCGATGAATAGAAAGAATAGCATTTATTTGAAATAGAAATCTTTTGTAACATTATAAATGTCATTTTTTATCTAAAAATGATCAAATTTCTTCAAATTCTTTCATTAAAATCTTTCCTTATACCGAACCAAACTTTTAATGGTAGTGTATAACATCCCACTATGATCTGTCTATGGGAATGATACAAATCAAAACTCTTCTCACCTTCCACTGCCACCTCTCGAGATCGCACTAAGTCACTTTTGTTGCCCACAAGGATGATGGGAATGTTTTCAGCCTGCCGGATGCGACGCAACTGGATTCGTAACTCCGATGCGCTCTCAAAGCTGCTGCGGTCGGTGATCGGTGATGGAATGATGTAAGCATTGCCCACCTGCATGCAGTAATCCTGCACCCACTTCTCATCTTCCTCCTTCCTCCTTAAAAAAGTAGTTAAACATTTTAAAGGAATACTTTACAAAAAATGTAAATTCATTGTTTACTCAACCTCATGTAGTTAAAAAAAACCTTAACTTTCTTTCTTTAATGAAACACAAATAAGTGACAAACACAAGATATTTTTACTGAAGAAATTATTCTTTTTTTTTTTCAAAACAATCACAAGGTTTTCAAGCTTCAAAAACAAAAGTATCATAATAGTAGTCCATACTCACGTCATATTTTCTACACTAACGATGTAGTAAATTAGTAAATGTAGTAAACGATGTAGTAACAATGCTAAAGGTTTGGGGTCAGTACTTTTTTTAAATACTTTTGTTCAGCAAGGATGCATTAAATTGATCGAAAACAACAGTAAAGACTTTTATAATGTTATAAAAGTTCATATATGCCCCCCCCCCCCAAAAAAAACC